CACAGAGTGTTTATCAGAACCCAAAGAGGTCTGCTCTTGCAGAGGGCGCAAGATCCCTCAGGCCAAGATACACTGTGCCGGTTTGACCCAGAGACAGTGGCCTTCAACTCTGAGCCACCTCAGCGCCCAAGGGAGGGAACAGGGACTGGGCTGCAGGGACTGGAGTGGTTTTAGGGTAAAGCCATCGCTAAATCCATCCACCGAAGCTCTCGGACCCCCTACCCAACCCCCGTCAGCAAAGTCAAGGTGCTCCATTTCACTGTGGCTAGAATGCCACTTTGGGGGGAGCACTCGGTGCCCCCTTCCTCCTCGGAGTCCTTAGGTGAGGTGCAGGGAGAACCCAGGAGGACACAGCTACCAAAGGGAGGGAGGGAGCGAGGGAGAGTGGAAGGAAGGAGGAACAGCGGCGGTTGCGGCCAAAGGGACGTGGAGAGGCGGGCAGGGGGCGCGGGTTCCCTCCCTCAGCCCCCTCCGGAGGTCACTGGGGGAGAGCAGCGGGCCCTGGGCCAGCGGCCAGGTCTTTTCGAGCTCCCCCACGACCTTCGGGGTCTCCGTAGGGAACTGGGCCGGGAGCGCCCCGCGCCCTCTCACCTTTGACTTGCGCCTCATGGTCCGCCTGCGGCCCTCGCTCCCGGCGCAGCTTCCCGTGCGTGGCCATGGCCGCCGGGCGGCCGCGCCGTCGAGCTCCGTTGCTCCCACGCGGCCGCAAGCGGGCCGGGCGTTGGGACCGGAGGCCCCCGCAGCCAGCAGCCTGCGCCGGCTCCGCCCCGCCCCGCCCCCAGCGCGGCTCCCGGGGCGGGGCGGGGGCGGCCGGCGCGGCCTGGCACTGCTCGAGAGGGTCTGGGGTCGGGGGGGGGGGGGGGGGGGGGGGGGGGGGGGGGGGGGGGGGGGGCGGGGGGGGGGGGGGGCGGGGGGGGGGGGGGGGGGGGGGGGGGGGGGTGTGCGTGTGTGTGTGTGTGTGCGTGCGCGCGCGCGCGCGCCCACTGGGGCCGGGCCTTGCCGTCGCCTCGCCCCCGGCACTGGGCGCGCACCCGGGCAGCCTTGTGCCCAAGGTTCGGCTGCTAGGGCCGGTGTGGGAGGCCCAAGGTGCCCGGCAAGCTGGCATCCTCTGGCTGCCATTCCCCCCCAGCCTCCAGAAGGCTGTCTGCTCACCACTGCCAGACTGCACATCGTGGCCATTGGCCCTGAATGCCAGTGCGCAGTGACACCATAGCTGCTCCAGACCCTGGGCTCCCTTGGGTCACCTGCCTCCCCCAGATCCCCAGGACATCAGATGGGGCCCACCCTTCCCAAGCACAAGGAGCCTGGAGAGCCAGGTGGGAAGGGAGGTCAGCACCAGAGAACAGAACGTGCCTTCACTCCCTCCAGGCCCCCTCATGGGGAGCGGGTGGGGGCGGAGGTCAGAGAACAGGCTTGGGCTAAGGTTCCCCTTCTGCTCAGCCCTGTGGGGAGGAACAAGCCTTGTTGCCCCATAGGTGGTTACCACTTCCTGCTGCCGGAAGAGACTCTTCTGCCTCCTTTCCCCGGCAGCTTGCACCTGCTGTCCTAGGCCCAGGGGACTGGGGAGGGGCAGCCTTCTTCCCTCACTCTCAGAGTAAGGCCTTACTGAGCCTGGGGGCGTCTTGGGGCCTCTCTTAGACAGGAGTGCTGGAGTTTCCCTTCACCCCTCTCTACCAACTCGAAGTCACAGGCCAGGCCGACAGGTTTTTCTCCAGTATACTGAGAAGGCAGGATGCAGGTAGCAATTGACCAGCCGGACTGGACAACTGTCTTCAGTTGGGTGGGAGGGAAATCCCTGGGGTATAGATGGTGGGGACGGGGGCGAAGGCAGTTAGGCTCTGGGCTCGTGCCCAGGGGAGGCGGGCCTGTAGGCGCTGGTGCAAGGGGTCCGGGCATGTGTGTGCGTGGATGTCCAAGTCAGGCTCTGTGCAAATGTGGGCACACGTGACCCTGACCTGCAGCTGTGGGAGGGAGGGGAGTCTGCGCAGGTACTTCCTGGCTTTCAACTGTGAGCATTTCGCTCACCCAGAAGGGGAAAACATACCTCCTCAGTTCCCTGCCCCCCACCCCCAGTACCAGGCCCTTCTCTAAGGTGCAGTGTGTGCACGGGGCACTGGGGCTTTTCGGCCTGGGAGCAGGCCAGACCCCAGCAGGAAGGCATGCCCCTCATCGGCTAAACCCAACACAACACACCTTGCCCCCTACCCTCTATCTGAGCCCTGACTGGTCGCCCAAAGTTCCTCCCCCATTCAGCAGAGCCAGGCACAGGGCTCAAGCCCGCAGGAAACTGCGGCTGAACTGGTGTCGGCGTCTACTTTCAAATGCTCTCCTTCGTCGTTTTACTTTAGGACTCCAGAAATGCTCACGTGAAGCCCCATTCAGCCACTGGTGTCAAAACTCGAGTGACTAGCCCTGGCTTTTAGGACGCTTCTTTGGCATTTAAGGCCGAACTGCTTGCTCTGTCCTCAGCTCTATTGTTCCCCTTCCAAGAATCTAAATGGTGCAGAAGGGCAGGATCAGATCTGCGGGGCCTTGCTAAGCCTGTTGACAAGTGGAGTGAACACTTGGTCCTGAGGGGTGACCGCAGGGCTGACGTGGTCAGGTCTGCTGGGTGAAGGATAGACCAGAGGGAGAAGAGATCAATGGGGAGGTTGTTAACAGATGTCCACGTCAGATGAGAGCATGAATTGGACAGTGAGGCCACTCCCATTTTCCCACAAATGAGCTTTCCAGGAGAAGTTTCACAACGGGGGTCCAGGTTGTGCACCTCTGTGTATAGGTTCATCCCCTGGGGAGACGTCCCCACAGCCCACCCCCAGTCACACGGCTAGGGAACAGGAGTTCCTGCTTTTCCCACCCTCAGCCTTCCAGCCTCTGTTCGGCACCTAGCTACTGAAGCGGCCCCTCCCAGAGCCGGGTCCTGCAGAGAAGGAGAAAGTGCTGGGCTCCAAGGGTCAGTCGGGCCTGCGGCTTCCCCTCTCTGCCCTCCGCCCTCGCCTCAGCTCCCGCCTCCGCCCAGAAAACCCAACCGCCTGGGGGCGGCCGAGCGTCAACGTGCCCTCCTGGGACGCTGGACGCGGAGAGCAGAGGGCGGGCCCGACGAGGGAGGAAGGAGTGTGCCGCAAGGCACCGTGGGAGCCTCCGCGGGCTCCCTCCCGCCAGCGCTGGGGCGCGGCCGATGTAGCGCGCATGCTCTCCCCCTTGCCCGCCCCGCCCGCCGCGCGGAGCCCAGCCCCGCCGCCGCCGTACCAATCAGAGCCTGGGAACGAAGCCCGGCGCGGCTTGCGAACCGAAAGGGACTGAAGCCAGGAGCGGAGGGCGGGGCGAGGCTCCGCCTCCGACAGCAAGCCCGCGATTTGAGCCAATCAGAACACAGCCTCCCTCCCCCCGCCAGCCCGCGCGTTAGCGGGCGCGCGCAGGCGCATCTTCCTATTTCCGGCCCGCTCACTAGCGTACCGGCTGTTAGTTGGTCACGTGGCAGGCGCCAGCCAGAGAGCGGATGGAGCTCCGTAGCAAATCATTCTGCGTAGCAGAGGAGCAGTGTGCCGTCTGCGGCAGCAGGCGCACAAGGTACAGTGACAGCTAAGGAGTGCTGAGCTCCGCTGGGAGGTGGGCGGCCCAGGCGGCCCGCCCAGGGATGAGGAGCAGCAAACAATGGCGCTGCAGCCAGAGGGAATGGCAGTGATGAAAGGCACAGGAGCCAATTTTAGGGTTAGAATTGAAGCTATGAAAAACAGAGGGCTTACAGGCTGCATGAAATGACATTATGCATTCGTCAAAACTCACGGGAGTGTACAACGCAGAGGGAAATGTAACTGTGGACTGTAGTTAACAATGTATCAATCTTGGCTCAAACACATGTTAACACTTGATACAAAATATTAATAGGAGAGGCTTCCCGGGTGGCGCAGTGGTTGAGAGGCCGCCTGCCGATGCAGGGGACGCGGGTTCGTGTCCCGGTCCGGGAAGATCCCACATGCTGCGGAGCGGCTGGGCCCGTGAGCCATGGCCGCTGAGCCTGCGCATCCGGAGCCTGTGCTCCGCGATGGGAGAGGCCACAGCAGTGAGAGGCCCGCGTACCGCAAAAAAAAAAATAATAATAATAATAGGGGAAACTGAGGGGGACGGGGGGCGGTCCACGGGAACTCTGTACTATCTGCTCACTTCTGTAAATGTAAAACCATGCTAGAAAGCAAGCCCACCGATTATTTTCAAATGAAGGCTTGGGTTAGGAAGTAGATTCAAGGGGTATCATGGTGATCGAACAGACAGGACTCGCTTTTGGTTTGCAGGGGAGGGAGGAATCAAGGACAGTTGCCAGGGCTCGAGCAACTGGGTAGCTGGTTGGGCCATTACCGAGATCAGACATTGGTAGAGAAGCTCAGCGAGCAGTTGGACTCAGGCATCTGGAACCTGGCAAGGCAGCGGCAGAGCAGGGCTCGGAAGAGGCTCCCAGAACTCCAGGGTTCCCTTCCCCCGGGACCCAAAGATGGCTCCAAGCTATCAGACATCTCCAAAGCCCCGACAAAGCTCTTCCCTTCTACTCGGGCTTGGCAGGAAGCACTGTGCCAAAAGGATGTGAGGTCCACATCCACAGGGATGCAGAAGAGCCAGAGAGGGGCATACACACACCCCCAAAAATGTGCACGCTCGCACAGGTAAACTCCCCAAGGCCACTGGGTGAAGTTTATTGTGAAACCTCTCGGGGTGAGGATGGGATGGGCAGGCCAGGGCAGGGAGAGAAGCATGTGCAGGCTCTAGGAGGCTGAGTCAGAGGCCTCTGAGCTGTCCTTGACATCGGTGCTCTCTGTGGTCTCGCTGACCTCACTGAGGTCTTTGCTGTCTCCACCGCTATCCTCCGCAGCCAGGCCCTTTTCCTCACGACTGGCCTCTCCCGAGCTCGGAAGCGAGTTGCCCTTGCCCTCCACCTTGTTCTCGATGGAGCCCAGCACCACGTGCCTGGCCTTCTCCTTCAGCTCCAGGTGCCGCCTCAGCTGCCACCAGGAGCCCGGGGAGAAACGGGAGTAAGGAGACAGCACCTAAGTCTCTAGACCACGAAGGCCCTCTCCTGCTGCCCGTGCCTTGTCCCTTGCTGGCGGCGGGGGGCAGGATGAGAGGCAGCAGAGCCAGGGCAGGAAACAGGACTGAGTCCGACTCCCAGCGGGGAGCCCTGGCACTGTCCCCTCTGGGCCTGTTTCCTGTCCTGTAAAGTGGAGGTGCTTACGGCTCCCTCACGAGGCTGCCGTGGAGCCCTCTGAATGGCCCGGGCCCCCGAGGAGCCTTGGGCAGAACCCTGACTTCTCTTCAGCCCGGTTTTGTCTGGCCCCTGAGCCTTGGAGGCCAGCCACAGCCGTCCCCAGGCCCCGCGTCTCTCAGCACGTCCAGGGGCCTCCTCCCTCTCCTCTCACAGCAGCCTCTGGGCAGGACGGGCTTCTTCCTCGGAGAATGGAATCTTGGGCCGATGGCCTTCGTTAAAGCCCTGCCGAGGTCCGGCTCCCCGCCTGCCAGCTACGGAAGCTGAGGTGAGGAGGGCCAGGACTCCCGGCCACGCAGCCTCCAACTGTCCCAGGCCACCCCTGCTCGCCTTGACTGGGGACCGCGGCCCTGGCCCCGCAGGACTCTTACCTGCAGGACTCTTACCTCATCGGCCATCTGGGTGAGATCCCGCTTCATCGCGTATGCGTCTTCTCCATCTGCATAGTATTTGGGCTCCACTTCGCTGATCCTGGGGGCAGCAGGTGGAGAGAAGGAGGGCAACCCAAATCGGGGGCAATTCTCCTCAGCCTTCTGGTATCATCTGCTAGTGGGGCAGGGTGTCATTGCCCCCCCAAGGACCCTTTGGGAGACATTTCCAACATGGTCTTCCCTCTGCTTTCTCCAACAGTAAGTAGCACCCAGCTCCTTTATTCCCCCCCACCACTGGCATCCTGCCACTGCCCCTCGTCCCTAACCTGGCCACCAAGGATCTGTGTCTGTGGTTTCCTGTGAACTGAAGCCCTGAATTTGGCAGTCCCCTCCCCTCCCCTCCCCGCCCTGCTCCCTGTCACTTCCTGGGCATGCATGGCTGGCTCGTATGCCTAACAATTGGAACCGGGGAGGGGTGCTGCGGCCTGGGCCTCTGTTCTTGGTGGTCGTTACCAGGCAGCGTGGCCCCTAGCCACCCAGGTCTGCATACACACTGGGCACCCTGCCAGCCTTAAGACCCTAGAACTGTCAACCACCAGAGGCATTTGCATCCAGGCCAAAGATCCTGCCTCAAATACCCAGCCCGGAGGCCACTTCCCTTCCCAACAGTCCCTCCTCGTCCCCCACCAAGCTGAAGCTGACGCTGTCTCAGTGGGCCCTCCACGGACAGCCCATCTCAGCCACCTGGATAAGCCAGACCTGGGGACCATCCCACTCCATGAGAAAAATCTAGATCTACTTACTGAAAGTTGAGGGTGTTGGAATAGAGGTGCAGAGCGGCCCGGTTACTGCAGGGGAATAAGGCACTGCTGAGCTGTACAGACGAGGCCAGGCAGGGACAGCACGTCCAGGTCCTGCCCCTCCTCCCGGTCCCCCTCCCCACTAAGCCCACTTCCCGATCTTCTCCAAAAGCCAAGGCAGCCCAGGATCCACATCGAGGCAGTATCCCCGCTGGTGGTGGTGGGATGAATTGGGAGATTGGGATTGACATATATACACGAATATGTATAAAATAGATAACTGATAAGAACCTGCTGTATAAAAATAAATAAAATAAAATTCAAAAAAGACCCAACAAAACAGACAGTATCCCCCTACCCACCCCCCTTCCCTCGGCCCTGGCTTCCACCTCTTCCTGACATGCAGAGAGACGTATTTGGCATTGAAGTTCTCGATCATGGCTCGGGAGGCCTGGTCCATCAGCTTCTGAGCCAGGCCAAGGCGCCGGTGGGAACGCTTCACAGCCTGGTGGGAGAAAGGTGGGACCTCGGGGCGGCTCCAACTAACTTCCGCCCCCGCCCCCACCAGACCCTGGGTGGGCCCTACGCACCAGCGAGGTGATGTGTCCATGGGGCACGTCGTCCGGGTCCTCTTCCCTAGAGCAAGAAGAAAGGAGAGGGGCTAGGCGTGAACCCCAAAGTGCGTCCAGTCCCGGGACAGGGGAGAGCCAGGACTCTCCAAACCCCAGGCAGCAGCCAAAAGACATGTGCAGCGTCAGTGGAATACTGTTCAGGGCTAAAACGAAAGGAGCTCTCGGGCTTCCTTGGTGGTGCAGTGGTTGAGAGTCCGCCTGCCGATGCAGGAGACACAGGTTCGTGCCCCGGTCCGGGAGGATCCCACGTGCCGCGGAGCGGCTGGGCCCGTGAGCCATGGCCGCTGAGCCTGCGCATCCGGAGCCTGTGCTCCGCAACGGGAGAGGCCACAGCAGTGAGAGGCCCGCGTACCGGAAAAAAAAAAACTCTCAAGCCATGAAAAGATGTGGGGGGAGACTTCAATGCATATGACTTAAGTGAAAGGTGGTCTGAAATGGCTACATACTGTATGATTCTAATCATATGACCTTCTGGAGAAGGCGAAAGTATGGAGACAGTAAAGAGATCAGTGGTTCCCGGGGAGAGGGGAGGGAGGGAGGGAGGGCAGTGAAACTACTCTGTTTGATACTATAGTATCGGATACTTGTTATACCTTTGTCCATGGAGTGTAGAACTACTACTCAAAGAGTAAAACAATGTAACTATGGGTTTCTGCAATAATGTAACAGCATCGGTTCACCCATTGTAACAAATTTGCCACAAGATGTTAATGTGAGAGGAAACTGCACTAAACGAACAGTCTATTAATTAACAAAACGAAACAAACAAACCCAACCCAACCCAGGCAGCAGCCATCAGACGCGTGCGGTGTCGGTGTCCCTCCTCCCCCCACCCCCACGGCAGGCACCAGGCTTGTCCCTCCGTCCTTGGTGACTCACATTTTGGCCAGGACATACCCCACAATCTTCCCATTCTCATCCTCAGCGATGTAAGAGAGCTGGGTGACAGGGAGGAAAGAGAAGGCAGAAAACAAGTTCCTGTCAGAGCTGGAGGCGCCCTTATCGGACACCTGGCCCCAGCGCCTGCCTGTCGCTGTGTGCATGACAGACAGAAGCCCATCGGGCAGCGAGTTCAGTGACAGCTCCTGACCTCCAGGCCAAGTGGCTTGGTTTTCCCACATCACACCGTGCCCCCTTTCCTTAACCCAGAAGAAGCGGACAGACACAGGTGGGAATACTGCCCCTACCTTGGCCCTGTTCTTCGGCCCTCTTCAAGGCGCCTCTATCCATCTCCCGCCACCCCAGCCGGAAACACTCAGGGCCTCATTGACCCATGCGCCCCCCGGACTCTTCACGACCTTGCGCGACCTCGCCGGCTCGTCCCAAGCCGACCCAGGGTGGAATTTCCTTGGCCTGGTTTCCCTCATCCCCAAATTCAACAGCTGCCCACCTGGGGCCAGGAAAGGCCATGGTAGAAATAATATTTCATCTGGTAGTTCTCGGGCAGGCACAGGAGGTTGCAGTGCTGCATGTTCATCAGGTCCTCTGGCTGCGGGAGAGGACGGCAGTGGAATGCAGTCAGGCTGGGGGCTGCGGTGACTAAGTAGGCCTCGGTCGTGTTAGAACCCTGCTCTGTCTACTCAGCGACCCCCGCCCCCCCACAGGGCTGGGCGGGCGCTGGGACTATCTGTCTCCGCACAGGCCTGGCCCACAGCCGCTGTGCAAAAACTGACTGTTCCAGGAATGAACGTTGAGCTCCAGGAAGCTCCCCGACACCATCCAACGGAAACCCGACATCCGGAAAGAAGGAGTTCGCAGCCCCGGCCCTGCGCCCCTGGCTCCCCCGGCCTCCTCTTCGGGTAGATCCAGCCCCACGGGGACGTGGCCTTCACTTTTCCGCGCCGGGCGGCCGAGGGCGCCCAGGGCGGCTAGCCCGGTGATCGGCCGGGCCCATCGGGAGCACGCGCACGCGGCCACCGGGCCCCGCTCCCACGCGGCGCGGACAGCCTCCGGCCCCGGCCCCTCACCCTTGCATTGCGGATGTTCATAACGGCGGCGGGGCTCGCGGCTCCCAGCGGGTCGTGAACGCGCAGTCAGCTGCCACCGCGCTCCGAAGCGACGCCGGGGCTGCCAGGCCGGGGCTGGGGCTGGGGCTGGGGCCGGGGCTGGGGCTGGGGCTGGATCTGGATCTGGATCTGGATCTGGGTCCAGGATCGCGGGGACGGCGGCGGAAGAGGAGGCGCGCGCCGGGCCCGGCCACCGGCCGGAAGTGCGCGCCGCCGAGCCCGCCCGCCGGGCCCGCCCTCCCGGCCGCTCGGCCATGCGCAGGGAGGGCCAAGGGCGGGGTGGGGCCGCTCCGCGGGGCGGGCCGGGCCAATGGCCGGGCGGGCCCCGGCGCGGGGCGGGCCTGTTGGCAGGGTGGGAGGGTCCAGCGCGCGGGGCGGGTCACTGGCAGGGCGAGCAGGTGCCCTCCAGCCAAAGGCGGCGGTTGGTTCCCCACCCGACACCCCACAGACGCTCACACACACGGGCAGTGGAGCAGGCTTGGCTTTATTCTGCGCCTCGGCGGGCGGGGTCGGCGGGCGGAGACCGGGCGCTGAGGGCCGGGGCCGGGGCCGAGGCCGGGGCGAGGCGGCTCAGCAGGTCACTCAGCATCTCCTCGCACATGGCGAGGCACCGCGGCACGTGGAAGCAGCCTGCGGGGAGAGGCGGGACGGCGGGTTGGGAGGGCCGTGGGCAGCCGAGTGCCCCGAGCCCCTGGGCCCCGCTCTTTCCCCCACTCACCTTTGAAAGGACCCCCCTTGATGGTGAGGGCGATCTTCCCTTCTCGGTTCAGGTAGCCAAACCATTCCCCGTACTCGGGATCGCGAAACTGCAGTAACAGTGAGGCAGTGACAGGCAGCGCCTGCAGGAACCGCCCAGATGCCACAGGCCTGGGAAAGGGGCGTTCACCGGTCCCACTAAACCGCTACCTGGGGTCAGAGCCCGGGCTGACCCGCGGCTCCAGAATCAGTGCTCTTAAATGAGGCCCCGCCTCCTGGACAAATATGAAAGCAAGGGGCTTTTCCTTTTCCTTTTTCTTGTGTGTGGGGGGGTGGAGTTTTGAGTCTGCAGCTAGTTACCCCACCTGGGGAAGGGGCCGCAGGCTGTGAGATGAAACCTTGCAAGATGGAATTTAAAACAAAAACAAAAACAAAAACCCTGCTTCGGACTACTGAGCTTGCGCTCTAGAGCCCGTGCGCCACAAATACCGAAGCCCGCGCGCCTAGAGCCGGTGCTACCGACCGCAGTGAGAAGTCCGCGCGCAGCAACGAAGACCCAGCGCAGCCAAAAGTAAATAAATATAATTAAAAAAAATAACAATGTAAAAAGAAACGGAACCCTGAGGAAGTGCTGACCTGCCATGTAACTTTGTAACAAGTTATTCCTTTGGAGCTCCTGTTCCCTGCTTCAGAGGACTGTCTTGCCGTGGATGAGATTGTAGATAGCGCTACATTGTAGATATCCCGTACAGAGGTCTGACTTCTCCCTTGCTCACCACAGGTCCCAAACACATCTCCCCCTCCCTCGGAGCCACCTGAAGCCTGCCCCTGCCCAGCAGCTCTGTTGACCCTTTCCAAATTCCTCGCTTCTCTCCTGCCCAATTCCTTCCAGATGCTCCAGGATAGACCTCAGAGCCCTGGCCTAGGCCCTTCCTCCCCAGATAGACCCCCGAGTGGAACCCCTTCTCAGAAGGACCATAGAAGAAATCAGTGACATTGAAGTCCACTACCAAAAATGTCTTTTTAAATGGGGACCTATGAGTAGGTGTATTCTTCATAGGGGGTAAAACTAGTTCTGTATCTGTTCGTTCTATCTTCCCAGTGATATTACCCATGTCCTTACTTATTATTCGACTACTGGATATGACACGGGAAGATAACAAAGGATTTGACTGTTTTCCTGTCCAGCCTTTCCATGGATGTCTGAATTTTTGCTTTCTGTATTATGACGATTAGTGCATAGTGAATTACCTGTTGTTTATAACTTTTGTGATTGTTCAGTACAATCTCTCTTTCTTGAAAATGTATTCCTTAAATTTCACTTTATGCGGTTAAGAGCGATCACCTCGAACACATGTTCTCTATGAACGCATTCAATCTTAACATATATCGCCTCTGGTCTTGTGGCTCCCGTGTTTGGAAGCAGTGACGAGCGTGTGCAGTACTTGGAGATGCCTCTCTAACCACAGCATAACACGAACACATTTGGAATTTACTGGTGACAAAGTCGGACGCTGCTAATACTGTGGTTCACTGCTTTCATTCATGATGGACGTGAAAGCTGGATTTCAGTTAGAGGTTAGTGCAAATAACGGTGGAATTTTCTCTCAGGTTTCAAAGCCCACAGACCTCAGAATAAGACCCCCCTGTTGTAATGCCTCCCGTACTGGGGTTTACTAATGGAGTGAGTCGTGGCTTTAGAAACACATCGGGAATCTGCCTTCGTTCCCCGTCACGCTCAGCGCCCGAGGTGCCCGTCGGCAGCAGCTGGCACAGCTCATCGCTCTGCTCACGGCACTTGGGCCTCTGCGGGGGGGCGAGGGGGCTGGCTTCCTTCCTACCTCGCAGATGATTCTCTCTCCTTTGCTGGGCCTGCCTATTCCCTCTTCTCCTTTCCTTCTGTACTCCAAGGTTACCTTGCCTCACGTGGCCAGCCCACACCTCTCCCGCTCGACCGCACTCTGACCCCTGAGCCGCTGCAGCTCCCACCCCCGGCCAGGCCCCCACTCACTAGCCAGGATGACAGCCACAGCCCGGTCTCCCTGCCTTCGCCTAGTGCCCTCTGGCCTCCCCTCCTGAAGCCCCAGCTTTTTTCCTTCCCACTAGCCCCCCAGTCCCCTGACCTTGCTTTATTTCCCAGAGCTCTCATCACCATCTGTGTTTGCTGGTTTACTTGTTTATGGTCAGTCCCACCAGCACCAAATGTGAGCTCCAGTGGGGCAGGGGCCACTCTCTTGACTGAACGGAGGGCACCAGGGCCGGGACTTCCAGGAACTCTCAGACCTACTGAGGGAACACGTCCGGCGAGGGGGGGAAGGAGGGGGTGTGCCGTGCCTGCGGTCTCCTCCACACCGCTGAGGCCAGGAAGCAGCACTTACCTGGCGGAAAGTGTACTCGGCCACCTGGTAGAAGATGTTCAGCAAGGCGGAGTCCCCGCTCTCACTGTAGCCCATGAGGAAGGCGATCATGGCTTCGCTGTGCGGCCACCAGAGCTTCATGGCCCACTCCAGCTGAGAGCAGAGCGGAGGCAGGCATCTGAGAGCCCTGGACCCCACTCCACCACCCCTGTCAGCAGGAGAGTCACCCCCATCTTTCGGGCCCTGGCTCAGACTCCATCTGGCCCAAGCTCTTGGAGCTTAACCACGGGACGAACGCCTCTGGGGGCCTTAACCGCCCATCAGATCGCGACTAGCTTCCTGAGGCAGATGTAGCCCAAGCGGCCCCTCCCAAAGGGCAGGGCTGGGGTGGGCGCCCCTTGAGCCCTGGAATCGCAACCCCGGCTGCTCCCACTGCTGATGCCTTAGGGTCACTCAGAGAGCCTTTCCAAGATGAAGGGCCATGTGTCTCCGCGTGGGCATGGCCTGCGCTCCCTCACGGCCTCCCTGTGCATGTGAGCTTGAGGGCCACCGGCACAGGAGTCGAGCTTCCCACTGGGGTCACACCAGGCAGGTTCACTCCTCTGAGCCCCGGGTCCCCCTCTCTGAAATGGGTGATGACAACACGCACCTCCCTGGGCAGAAAGCCTTCGACAGGCTAGTACCATGTAGCCCTGGGTACATTCCCACCTGGGTGGGGCATAGGCCGTCAGCATCCTGGAAGTAGAAGAGACCTCCATGGTCGGGGTCCCATCCAGAGCGGAAAGGCAACAATAGGAACTTGTCGATAACGTGGGCTCGAAGTTTGGGGTCACCTCTCCGGACGGCGTGACGGAGCAGGAACCAGCCAGCTTCCAGCGCGTGGCCTGGTGAGGGCTCGGGTAAGGTAGGCCACGTGTCCTCCCCCAGGCGGGGGACTCAAGCGCTGTGCTGACCGCTGACTCCCTTCCTCTCTGCCCCACTGTGGGGCCTGCTTTGAGCCCCCCAGCCCTGCCGGTCTGCCCCAGAGTCACCCTCCTGCTGCTGACACGCCAGTGTGGGAGGCCCGTCCCTCCTCCCCTGCCTGGTCCTCGGTGCGCTGAGGGCGGAGGGAGGAGGGCACTCCCTGCATCTGGAGTCCAGAACCAAGGCTGAGCGCCCCCCTCCAACCGGGCCGCCCCCCAGCCCACCCCGCCCCTCACCTGGGTTCTGGTGTCTCCCCAGGCAGCCAGAAAGCCCCTCGCCATCCTCTGACACATTCTCCAGCACAGCCTGCCCACCCCTCTGCCGAGGGAGGAGTAGAAGGTAGCTTGGCCTTCAGCACCCCCTGACCCCCGCCCCATCATCCAACAAGAAAGACGCACCCTCCCACGCCCCCTCCCTCCTGATCTGCAGGCTTGGGTGGCCTCACTCGGAGGGCCTTTGGAGGAGGAGCCGATTCACTCCCAAGGGTCTGGACCTGTCCTAACCCTTGCTTTGGGCCTGGGCCCCTGACGTGGGGAGCGTAAGGCACTGAGCGGAGGCTGAGACTGGGGGGACTGGGCTGTGCAGAGGCCTGGGACGAAGCTGAGTCCGGCCAGGTTTCCTGCTCCCTGACGTGCCTGGGGCTCTGGCACCCACCCCGGCTCCCCCGGGGCCCTCCTTCCCTTCCCGAGGGTTCTGGGCCCGCACCTCGCCCCATCTCCCTGTCTGTAAAGGGAGCCATCGGCGCCCGGCTCCGGGGGTGGGTGCGGGCGGAGGAGGCGCCCCGGGGGTGGGGCGTAGGGGGTCGCCCTGCCCCCAGCTCCCCAGGCCCTGTCTGGCGGCCGCCGTCCGCCCGCTGCCCTGCCCCCACCTGCACGTGCCGCAGAATCCTCCGAGCGCACCAGTCCCCCAGCTCCGCGTAGCTGCCCGCCAGCTCGTCGTCGGCCTCCCCGAGCTGCTCCACCAGGCTGAGAAGCATCATAGGCACCGCCATGGACTCCGCGGCCGGGGCCCCAGGGAGCTGGGGCCGGCCCAGCCCAGAGGGGTCCTCCCGCACCCAGTGCACGATCTGATCCATCATCTCCACCGCTTCGCTCTGGGGAGGGATGAGGGGAGGCCCAGGCTGAGGCTGCATCCCATCTAGTCTGGTACCCCAGGTGCCGACCTGCTGGGTCCCCAGCCCTGGGGTGGGAGAACCATGTACTCCCAGCCACTCATAGGACACCTTCACCAAGGCCTACTCTGGGCCTGGCCCCGGGCTGGGGGCTAGGGCTCCCACTCTGGGGGCGTAGACCATTCCCAGACAGTGAGGTCACGTTTGAAAGCAAGAGGGGGCCCAGGGAGGAGGGAGCGGCCCT